CTCGAGCTCGCCTACAGGGAGGTTCCAGGAAAGGTCCAGGAGAGGTCCAGGAGAGGTTGGCGAAGCGGAACTCGAGCTCGCCTACAGGGAGGTTCCAGGAAAGGTCCAGGAAAGGTCCAGGAGAGGTTGGCGAAGCGGAACTCGAGCTCGCCTACAGGGAGGTTCCAGGAAAGGTCCAGGAAAGGTCCAGGAGAGGTTGGCGAAGCGGAACTCGAGCTCGCCTACAGGGAGGTTCCAGGAAAGGTCCAGGAGAGGTCCAGGAGAGGTTGGCGAAGCGGAACTCGAGCTCGCCTACAGGGAGGTTCCAGGAAAGGTCCAGGAGAGGTCCAGGAGAGGTTGGCGAAGCGGAACTCGAGCTCGCCTACAGGGAGGTTCCAGGAAAGGTCCAGGAGAGGTCCAGGAGAGGTTGGCGAAGCGGAACTCGAGCTCGCCTACAGGGAGGTTCCAGGAAAGGTCCAGGAGAGGTCCCGGAGAGGTTGGCGAAGCGGAACTCGAGCTCGCCTACAGGGAGGTTCCAGGAAAGGTCCAGGAGAGGTCCCGGAGAGGTTGGCGAAGCGGAACTCGAGCTCGCCTACAGGGAGGTTCCAGGAAAGGTCCAGGAGAGGTCCAGGAGAGGTTGGCGAAGCGGAACTCGAGCTCGCCTACAGGGAGGTTCCAGGAAAGGTCCAGGAGAGGTCCCGGAGAGGTTGGCGAAGCGGAACTCGAGCTCGCCTACAGGGAGGTTCCAGGAAAGGTCCAGGAGAGGTCCCGGAGAGGTTGGCGAAGCGGAACTCGAGCTCGCCTACAGGGAGGTTCCAGGAAAGGTCCAGGAGAGGTCCAGGAGAGGTTGGCGAAGCGGAACTCGAGCTCGCCTACAGGGAGGTTCCAGGAAAGGTCCAGGAGAGGTCCCGGAGAGGTTGGCGAAGCGGAACTCGAGCTCGCCTACAGGGAGGTTCCAGGAAAGGTCCAGGAGAGGTCCCGGAGAGGTTGGCGAAGCGGAACTCGAGCTCGCCTACAGGGAGGTTCCAGGAAAGGTCCAGGAGAGGTCCCGGAGAGGTTGGCGAAGCGGAACTCGAGCTCGCCTACAGGGAGGTTCCAGGAAAGGTCCAGGAGAGGTCCAGGAGAGGTTGGCGAAGCGGAACTCGAGCTCGCCTACAGGGAGGTTCCAGGAAAGGTCCAGGAGAGGTCCCGGAGAGGTTGGCGAAGCGGAACTCGAGCTCGCCTACAGGGAGGTTCCAGGAAAGGTCCAGGAGAGGTCCCGGAGAGGTTGGCGAAGCGGAACTCGAGCTCGCCTACAGGGAGGTTCCAGGAAAGGTCCAGGAAAGGTCCAGGAGAGGTTGGCGAAGCGGAACTCGAGCTCGCCTACAGGGAGGTTCCAGGAAAGGTCCAGGAGAGGTCCAGGAGAGGTTGGCGAAGCGGAACTCGAGCTCGCCTACAGGGAGGTTCCAGGAAAGGTCCAGGAGAGGTCCCGGAGAGGTTGGCGAAGCGGAACTCGAGCTCGCCTACAGGGAGGTTCCAGGAAAGGTCCAGGAGAGGTCCCGGAGAGGTTGGCGAAGCGGTACTCGAGCTCGCAATGCGCGTCCGGCGTGTCGAGCTCGAGCTCGACGACGGCGGCGGCGCCTATTCACAGCATACGGTGTGAAGAGACGCTGTTCACAGCTCGACGGCCAGCTCGACGACCGCGGCGGCGCCGGGCCGCTCGTGCGGCGGCGGGCCGAGGCAGGCGGCGGCGGAGCCCGAGAGGAGGAAGGGCGGGCGGGAGCCAACCTGCAGGCTCGTCAGCGCGATCGAGGAGAGCGTGCGTGGCAGCGGTAGCGTCGCGAGCGAGCGCTCGATCGACGCGGTCAGCGTCTCGTGGAGGTACGGACCTACCAGAAAGGTCCAGGAAAGGTCCAGGAAAGGTCCAGGAAGGGTCCAGGAAAGCGTCTCGTGGAGGTACGGACCCCACGTCGCCGTCCAGCCCGCCGCCAGCAGCACATTCAGCCAGCCGAGGCTCTCGGCCGGCGCGCCGGGCCGCAGCTGCAGGCTCGCCATCGCTCGCGTCTCTGCAATCTGGAGGAGCTCTCGCCTGCCAGAAGGTTCCAGGAGAGGTTCCAGGAGCGGTCCAGGAGAGGTCCAGGAAATGTCTCTGCACTCTGGAGGAGCTCTCGCCTGCCAGAAGGTTCCAGGAGCGGTCCAGGAGAGGTCCAGGAAAGGTCTCTGCACTCTGGAGGAGCTCTCGCCTGTGGGCGAGCTCGACGGCGCGCAAGTACGCGAGGCACGCGGCGCCTGCTCACAGCAGGCGGTGTGAAGAGACGCTGTTCACAGCTCGACGGCGCGCAAGTACGCGAGGCACGCGGCGCCTGCTCACAGCAGGCGGTGTGAAGAGACGCTGTTCACAGCTCGACGGCGCGCAAGTACGCGAGGCACGCGGCGCCTGCTTACAGCAGGCGGTGTGAAGAGACGCTGTTCACAGCTCGACGGCGCGCAAGTACGCGAGGCACGCGGCGCCTGCTCACAGCAGGCGGTGTGAAGAGACGCTGTTCACAGCTCGACGGCGCGCAAGTACGCGAGGCACGCGGCGCCTGCTCACAGCAGGCGGTGTGAAGAGACGCTGTTCACAGCTCGACGGCGCGCAAGTACGCGAGGCACGCGGCGCCTGCTCACAGCAGGCGGTGTGAAGAGACGCTGTTCACAGCTCGACGGCGCGCAAGTACGCGAGGCACGCGGCGCCTGCTCACAGCAGGCGGTGTGAAGAGACGCTGTTCACAGCTCGACGGCGCGCAAGCACGCGAGGCACGCGGCGCCGCAGAGAGCAGCGCACGCGAGGCCGACCGGGCCTGCGGTTGCGCAAACCGGCGGCGTGAGCCCGGCCCCACCCGCCACGCTGCCGCGTCTCGCGGCGGGGCGGCGGGGCGGCGGGGCGGCGGTGGTGAGGGTGTGAGGGACTGACTCACTGGCTGCTGAGACTGCAAGAGGAGAGAGGAGGGAGGAGGAGTGGGAGGAGGAGAGAGGAGGAGGAGGAGTGGGAAGAGGAGAGAGGAGGGAGGAGGAGTGGGATGAGGAGAGAGGAGGGAGGAGGAGTGGGAAGAGGAGAGAGGAGGGAGGAGGAGTGGAATGGGGCTGCGCCTGCTGCCGCGAGACGGGCGCACGCCGCGAGGCAGAGGAGGGCGAGGGCGGCGTGTGGCGTGGAGCGGGGGCCCACCAGCCGCTCCACGCTGCCGCCGCCCTCCGGCATCGCGCCTCCGCCCGCGGCAGCCGCCGGCTCCCGCCCCGCCGCCGCCGCCGCAGCCCAGCGCGCAGCCTCTGCCCCGGAGGCGTCGCCGGCAGCGGCAGCCGGCGAGGAGGCGTGCGGGCCTTCGTGCGGTGGCGGCGTGGCGCGCCCGCCCGCCTCGGCGGAGAGCGCGGCCAGGTAGCGCCAGTCGCTCCCGGACGAGTCCTCGTTGACGTCGAAGCGCACTCGCTTCCGCAGCGCTCCCACCCCCGACTGCACTACGTCCACGGCGTCGGGCATGATGCCGAGCGCCTCGCCGGCGATGCGCTCCGTCGTGTCGCCCAGCATCGTGAAGCCGTCCCCCGCCGACTTGACCGCGCCCGACACCACCTTCATCGGCCGAGACAGGAGCCGCCGCGTCGCACCGCCCGCATCGCCGTCGCGCAGCTCGCCCCTGCCGTCACCGACCGCCGCCGCGTCGCCCGCCACGGCGTTGCCGACCGTCTCGATGCCGGAGCCCAGAAAGCGCACGAAGGAGCCGGCGAGGCGGAAGGTGCCGCCGACTCCTAGGGAGACGATGTCTCCAGCACCCTTGAGCACGCCCCCTGTGCCCTGCAGCCCTCGCTCGACGAGCACCCAGCCACCGCTCTCGCGCGGTGCCGCCGGCATCTGCGCGGCGCTCCACTGACCACCGCCGTCAGCGAGCGCTGCTGCTGCCAGCAGAGCCGGCCAAAGCTTGCGAGCTGCCATCATCTTGCCTGCCGTCCACCGCCAGGAGCGCGGAAAAAAGAATTTTTCCGTACAAAACAAGAACCGAAACGAACAAGGAAAAGAAATCGTGGGGCGGGGGGGGGGGCTGTGACCTCAAAGGGTGTGTGTGTGTGGCAAACAAGAAAGAATTTTGGGTGCCCCCCCGGCAAGAATGTGGCACACCACAAAGAATTCTCCCCGGAAAAGAAATTGTGCGGCCTCTGTATTTGGTGGCGCCCAGAGGAAAGAAAAGAATTTCAACCCTAAGAATTTAAGAAATGAGACACCCCTGGCGGCTCTCTGGCAGGCATGGCTCCAGGCGCTCCGGCCGCCGCAGTCGTCGCCGAGGCTGAGCCGGACGACGTGGCGATGCTCGACGGCAACACGATCGAGGTTATGTGGCAGCAGACCCGCAAGCGCGTCATCAAGATGCACAAGCGTGTGGGCACGGTGCGCTACCGGCCAAAGCAGCAGCGAAATCGGCCCGATAATGTCTATCTGGTCGAGTTTGAGAGGCGGCGCGGTACGCCCCGCACGGCCAAAGGGCCGCGGCTCCGAAAGACGAGCTGGCCGAAGCTTCGCGGGCGGAAGTATGTCGTGCTGCGCTCGCCATTGAAGAGGCCTGCGGGTGCGAGGTGGACGCCTGAGGAGATCGAGGCTGTGCGAGTGAGGATCGAGGCGGGAGAGGTGCATGAGAGCGTCGCGCGGGGCATTGGGCGCTCTCGTGATAGCGTCGCTTCATGTTGGAAGCGCTTCCTGCCGGGCTATGCGCCGCAGTCGACTAGAGACGGGCCGCGGGTGAAGAGCGGTGTCACTGTTGAGTTGGTCGAGAGCGCGATGCTCACGCTGCCCGAGAACGAAGGCACGACGGTTGAGGTTTTTGAGGCGGTCAAGCGGCAGGCGGCGATGAAGGGCGTCGCGCTGAACCTCGAGACTGCACCTGGTCAACGTGTGGTGTCGCGCGCGGAGCGAGGCGTCACCATCATTCTCACCCATCGAACATACTGCCCTCAATTCTCCGCCACCGGGGAGAAGCGCCTGTCGAACGTGCAGACAGACAGGGGCGCCAAGAGGTCGCAGAAATCTGCTGTCTACAAGTACTTGCCGCCGGTCGTCACCGCCGAGCGAGAGCCGGGCCTTCCGAGCACGAAGCGCGTCAGGGCTCACACGCCCAACGTCGGCGGCCCCAAGAAGTCGGCGCGCAAGACGAAGGAGCTTCTGGCTGGCGGCGACCGACGGCACGGATGATGGGGTGGCGGCCTGAACCATTGCCAGCGCCGCGTTGGCGACGGTGCGTACGTTGTACGTTGAGCAACTGTGTACTGTGTGCGAGACTGTGTCTGTGTACTAGTACCTCCCGTCTAAGACGTAAGAGGCTAAAAAATTAAAGAATTCTCCGCGACAAGAATTTCCACGTACTCGAGTAGACACTGGGCACGGGACTGGCGCGCACTGGCACTTAACACAAAGAAAATAGAAATTCTCATCGGGCCGGTTTACGGGCCTAGGGCTAGTTCCATCGACCCAAGAGACCTCTCGCGGGGCGAGAGTACATCTTCGCATGTCGAGGGTCGCGCCGCCGATGCCTGCCTCGTACCGCGACGGTCCGCGTATGTGTGCATGCCTCCTGACCGCCACGGTCACGGCCGCTGCGCTCCGGACAGGTTCGTTCGACGCGCTCGACCGTGATCTGGCTCGGCGGCCGCCGCTTTCTTTGAAACAGACCGCGCCGGCCACGCACCCTTGTTCCCGTAGGCCAACTCGAACAGGTTTGCCGCCTTCCATGCTCGATATGCAGCAGTAGCTTAGTTGACCCTGCTCGAAGGTGCCGCCCTGCTCTAAGCTAAGGCCGCCCTGCTCTCGGCATTGCTTTGTTGACTGATAGCACTGTCTGATCCAACCAGAAAGAGCCATCGAAGAGCCGTCGAGCTACATGAGACCCAAGCAAGTCGTCGTGATGTACCAGAAAACGAAACTAGCGCCAAAATTGAGATAAGGTAGGTAAGGTAAACTTCTCCACACACACGAGGTGGTGGGGCAAGGGGGGGCAACCCTCGCGTCTCCACGTCTAACGACAGGAGCCAAATTGAGATCTCAGGATCGACATTAATTTCTCGCGCCTACTTTCGCTGCTTGAGACTCGCCAAATAGATCCTGCGTCTATGACCGTGTGCAACGTCAAGTCGTGAACCGCGACAAGACCATCGCGCCAAGCGCGACTCTGTTGCTTTATGCGGCAGCATTCACCGTGACTCTTGCCGTGGCTGGTGAGTGACCGCGGTTGCTTACGCAGTACTACGCCGTGAACTGAGCTTCACCAGCCGTTTCTCTTCCTTCCAAGTTTCCTTCCCTTGCCTTCTCTGAGATTGAGAAATTTGACCGTTGACCGTTGCACACACCTCAGCTCTCGAAACTTACAATGTGCCACGCAATGCCCCGCGGCCCGCGTGCGGTGATATGCCATGAATTGTGGGAAGAGCGAACTCGAACACACGGGTGTCTCGGGTGGGGGGGGGCGGATGGCGCAAACTGTGGCACAGCCCGCGTTACAAAACCTTGATTCGACCATGACGGCGGCACACAGCAGGTGGCGCGGTGTGCCGCCGTCTACTCGGCGGGATCGCAGCTGCCTCTGCGCGTCCTGGAGATGTACCAAATCGTCGCCGCCGGAGACGACTCGACGCCGCTGAGATCGGAGATCAAGCTCTGACAGGTCGCACGTCGCTCCTTTGACGCCGACGTGACTCACCCGTGCAGATCACATCAGGACACGGTCTCGAAACGCTCGGTACGACGCCTGCGACCCGTCTCGGGTCAGGTGGCACGACGCTCATCGCGCCTGCCAGCGCTGCCGTGCAGGCTGCCACGACGAGGTCGAGCACGCTTCTATAAGCTCGCCCAGCCTTCCTTTCCATCCCATTAGGCAGCCTGGAAACGGTGGCGGTCAGAGGCAAAGCCTACGAGGGGTGGTGGAACCACATGTCACGGCTACCGCGCCGGCTCGACCCCACGATAGCCTCCGGAGGCTGACTTTGAGGCACAATCATCGGACGACGTCGGCGAGTTGAGTCGCGCTCGCGGTAGCCAGATGACCTCTCATACTAGTAGTATCGGCCATGGCCGCAGGAAGCGCGGGGGATTCCGCTGGGAGCAACACGGAGGACGGAGCGCTCCGTTGGACGCGTATTTCGTGGCAGGGAAACAGGTGGGTCCTCAGATGCGGGCACGGGCATCATCCAGCCCGGCATGGGCATCATCTAGGCTCTTCTGAGCCGACCACGTCCCAATGCGTGCAAATACGCACATAGCACATCAGAGGCACACCTCTCGCGCTGACCCATCATGCGCCGGTGCTCCAGAACTAAGCAGAGCCACCGCGCCCAGCGCCCCGCCCGCCCCGCCCGCCCCGTCCACGCCCCCCTCTCCCCCCTCGCCTACCGACCGCCGCCGTGGCGCCCACGGGCTGAGCCTGGGGCACGGTGCGCGAGGGCGGCTGGTAGACAAACGTCGCCTGCGCCGCCACCAGCCGCCCAATTGCGGCGATGGGCAGCGCCGGCTGGCGGCAGGCCGGGCACTTGCTGTCGCGCTCCAGCACGCGCGGCGCACATGTTTCGCAGTACAGAGCGTGGCCGCACGCGAAGCGGACCGAGCGCGGCGCGTCGTAGCAGAGGTCGCACAGGCGCTCCTCGGCCCCAGCCGTCTCCTCCACCTCCCCCGCCGCCTCGACCAGCGCCTCCAGCCGCGGCAGCGCCTCTGCGAGCGGCATCCGCTTCTTCTTCCGCTCGTATGCCAGCCCGACCACGAGCCGCACCAGCTCCTCGGCCTGCGCCGCCGACCAGCCCGCATCGGCAGCCGCGATGCCCTCCTTCGCGGTGTCGGGCTCCTCCAATGCATCATCGCACGCGTTGAGCAAGCCGACGGCGCCGCGGCCGGTCAGGCTGACGAGCAGCGTGATGCCGAGCGCGAAGCCGTCAGTGAGCTGCGAAGCCTGGTTGTCGTGCATGATGATCGAGTCCATGTAGCCGGGCTTGCCAAAGATACGCTGCGTCGACAGGTGCGACACCAGTCCATTGCTGCCGGCCGTCGCCTCTGCCGCGCGCGCGAGGCCCACGTCGGCGAGGTAGCCGTTGCCGCGCTCGTCGAGCAGGATGTTGCCCGCCGAGACGTCGCGGTGCAGGATCATCGGAGAGCGCGTGTGCAAGTAATGCAGCGCGCTCGCGGCGTCGCGCAGCACGCGGAGCCGTGCGGCGGAGGAGAGCGGCGGAGGCGGCGTCTCGAAGCCGAGCATGCGGAGCCGCTGCAGCGCGGCTGGAGTGCGGTAGAGGCGGTCCTCGAGGCTGCCGCCGCGGCAGAGGGGGTAGACGAGGCACGCTCTCGCCGGTGCTAGGCAGACGCCCAGGAGAGGGAGGAGGGACGGGTGGCACGCCGCGCTGAGCGTGCGCACCTCGCTCTGCAGCTCGGCGAGGCCTTGGGCGCCGACACCGACAAGCGCCGTCTTGACGGCGAACCCGTAAGCGACGCGAGGGAGAGACGGCAGCGCGTCGCAGCGGTAGACCCGCCCAAAACCTCCCTCGCCCACCTTTCGCGCCTCGGCAAAGCCGTCGGTCGCCGCGATGAGCTCGTCGAGAGGGACGGCGGCGGGCGGCGCGGCGGCGGCGGCGAGGGCGGCGACACTCGCCGCAGCCGACGCTGCTGCCGCTGCCGCCGCCGCTGCCACCGCCTCCGCTGCCGCCGCCTCTTGAGCCTCCGCCGCCGCCACGGCCGCCACCGCCGCCTCTACAGCCGCCGCCTCCGCCGCCGCCTCCGCCGCCTCGGCCGCCGCTTCCGCCGCCGCCGCTGCCTCCGCCTCCGCCCTCATCCTCGCCTCCTCCCTCTCCCTTGCCGCCTCCTCCCTCGCCCTCGCCTCTGCCTCCTCCCTTGCGCGCGACGCCGCCTCCGCCTCCTCCGCCGCCCGCGCCTCCGCAGCTGCCTCAGCCGCCCGCGCCTCGTCCGCCGCCCGCGCCTCCTCCGCCG